GAAGGGTTGTGAGAAGTGGAGCTGTGATGAGTTGGGATGTGATAAGTTGTGATAAGAAGTTGTGATGTGATAAGTGAGGTGTGAGAAGTGAGGTGTGAGAAGTGGAACTGTCATGAGTTGGGTTGTGATAAGTTGTGATGAGTTGTGATGAGAAGTGGACCTGTCAGAAGTGGAGCTGTGATGAGTTGTGATGAGCAGTGGAGCTGTGATGAGTGAGGTGTGAGAAGTGGAGCTGTGATGAGTTGGGATGTGAAAGGTTGCGATGAGTTGTGATGAGAAGTGGACCTGTGAGAAGTGGAGCTGTGATGAGTTGTGATGAGCAGTGGAGCTGTGATGAGTGAGGTGTGAGAAGTGGAGCTGTGATGACTTGGTATGTGATAAGGTGTGATGAGCCGTGATGAGTTGTGATGAGAAGTTGTGATGTGACAAGTGGGTCTGTGATGAGTGGTGATGATAAGTCTACGGCGGCGGAGGCGGGAGCAGGAGCGGCGGGATCCAAGTGAAAAACAAGAGCCCGGCACATGATACATGCAGCACACGAGCTCTTTTTCAAGAGAGGCCACCGCGCCGCAGCTCCTCCAGAAAGCCCTATATACTGCGCCTGCCACGCAAAAGGGAAGTGCGGAGGCTCTGTGTACTCCGCCTGCCAGGCAAAAGGCAGCCGCGGGCCAGCGGCGGCCACCGCGCCGCAGCTCCTCGACAAAGCTCTATGTAGTGCGCCTGCCACACAAAAGGGAAGTGCGGAGGCTCTGTGTACTACGCCTGCCAGACAGCCGCGGGCCAGCGGCGGCCACCGCGCCACAGCTCCTCGACAAAGCTCTGTGTACTGCGCCTGCCACGCAAAAGGGAAGTGCGGAGGCTCTGTGTACTGCGCCTGCCAGGCAAAAGGCAGCCGCGGGCCAGCGGCGGCCACCGCGCCGCAGCCTCCTCTATAGAAAGCTCTGTGTACTGCGCCTGCCACCGGAGGCTTTGTGTACTGCGCCTGCCAGGCAAAGGCAGCCGCGGGCCTGCAGCGGCCACCGCGCCGCAGCTCCTTTAGAAAGCTCTGTGTACTGCGCCTGCCACGCACAAGGGA